GTCTGTTCCTGAAGGACTGCACCCTGTGGAAGGGACCCATGCTGGAGCAGCTTGTGAAGAACTGCAGCCTGTGGGAAGGACTCACACTGGAGTTCGTGGATCCCGTGGGAGGGACCCTATGCTGGAGCAGAGGAAGAGTGTGAGGAGTCCTCCCCCTGAGGAGGAAGGAGGGGCAGGAACAATGTGTGATGAACTGATTGCAACCCCCATTCCCTGTCCCCCTGCGCCACTTGGGAGGAGGAGGTAGAGAACTCAGGAGTGAAGCTAAGCCTGGGAAGAAGGGGGTGGTGGGGGGAAGGTGTTTTAAGATTTAGTTTTTATTTCTCTCTACCCTACTCTGATTTGATTGGTAATAAATTAAACTGATTTCCCCAAGTTGAGCCTGTTTTGCCCGTGACGGTAATTGCTGAGTGATCTCCCTGTCCTTATCTCGACAACAAGCCCTTTTGTTATATTTTCTCTACTCTGTCCAGCTGAGGAGGGGGAGTGATAGAGCAGCTTTGGTGGGCACCTGGCATCCAGCCAAGGTCAATCCACCATAATAACACTTTGACATGGTAAGTAGAATAGCCATAGACACCAGGTCAGTACTGTAATATGTTTGCAAACACCTGTCTACAGACATGCGGGGGGTGGGGTGGGATGTGTGTAGGCATGCATACGCAAATAGGATGCAGATTTTATTTTGCAACAGCTAAGGTCAAGTTAAGTTTATTAAAGGCAAGAGTGTATCTGAAAGCTATACAAGTGCTCCTAGCAGTTGCTGTCTCTGGCTAGTTCTTCCCTGCAATGTTTGCCCAACACCAGACTACCAGGGATAGCAAAGCAGGAAGAATGCCCTTGTGGAGCTGATGTTCTCACAGTTGCAGTGCCCACTCTACACCACTCTGGGCCCAAGAGCTCTTGTCTGATTACTTTAGGTGCCCTTGTTTTACCCCCTTCCTTTCAGACACTCCTTTCAGGCAGTTCTGCTTTGGACAGGACAGTAAGCACAGTATCTCATAATGATGCAACTCAGGGTAATACCACTGCAACTGGCCTATCCAATATTCTTCCACTTGCATTTCCTTGGAGTGGCCCATTTTCCTTCTTTTCTGCACCATCAAACTTGCAAATCCTGTTTAACAGTTTACCTATCACAATCCTCAGGGACTTTCAGGTCAGCAGCTGCTGTCCTCTGAGACAAAATCTTTTATCATTCTACATCATAATATCACATTTGACTGCATTAAAGAACATACTGGAAATAAGCATCATTACATTATTTACCAAACTAGCCAGATGGATAACCCCATGATTGTTTAACACTCTACCTCTACATCAGGTTTTAGAAGTGGTAGTTTACATATTTTCTAGATCAATAATAATAATGATTAGGATTGCCTCAGAAAAGATTACTGGAAGGCTACTATCTATGACAGACTTTTGTAATTTCTTATTTTCATCATAATTCAGTTAACCAAGTTAAATGCTTTCAAAATCCATTTCATACGAGCTATGTTAATCAAAATAGCATTAGAGACTGAGACAATATTTCCAGAAATACATGGTACATTATAATGTTTACTAAAGAAAATTTTGTTCTTTCTAAAATAATGAAGATTGCCAGAGAAATTAGGCTACCATCTTCTCATTCTTTTCTGTTGCATCCTACTTTAGCCCTTGCATAATTTTACCTGATCTATAAATTTACTAGGTCATCTGCCTGATATTTTGTACATACGGGCATATGAACTTTAACCAAATCCTCCACACTTATCACCATTTTTCAAGTTTTAAGGCAAAGCTAATAGTGTCATTGACACTGACTTTCTTGCTTTCTCTGTCACAGATCATCAGATTATAAATGATATGGCCTTGAGACGGAAAGGATGAGAACTGTTATACTAACAACTACAGAGGAAAGATTTTGGTAATGTCCACTGGAGCTTTATACGGAATAATTTGTCGTATGTGCAGTACTTGTATGCATTTGTTCTTCGAAGAAAGTTTCTAGAGCAGTGTGATTCATTACACAAGAATTTCAAAATTTAGGAAAGCATTATTTGATTTTTTCTGCATACCTATACAGACTGGTGGGTTGGGCTGCCAGAAGTACCGATTTTCTACCTGAATGCAAGTTATCCTCTCATCTCCTTGCAGTTCATAGCCAGGGTCACACTGAAAAATGACAGTGTCCCCAGGTTCTCTTCCATCCCCATTTCTAGTTCCATTCATGGGGACACCAGGATCACGGCAGGCAGTAGCTACAGAACCTAGCAGAGAAGGGAAAAAATAAAATAAATTTTTAAAAAAGTCAACTTTTCAATCATTTTTACCCCCTTACTTTTTTCTAATCAGGAAGCTCTACAAATCCAAAATTTTCCTACTCACTTTTAAAATTCTGAGAAATCATCCAACAATCTGCTGCTTTTATACTAATATTTTTTGCCACCTGCTTTAATTATGGAGGCGTCTAATTTTTCTTTTAACCTTTTTTTGGAAAAAATTCTGTGGAGCATTGCAATAAGTAAAAAGGAAAGTAGGAGATTTCCTAGTACCCTGGACACTCAGCACTTCTAACTTAGAGGAATTTTTAATATGAAAAATGGAAAGAACAGATTAAGAACTCAGGTTGTCTGATAAGCTATGCTTGTACACATCTTCAGTTCTCCACAATTCTATAGTTCTTAAACGTATGTATGGTGTAACATTTAGTAGCGAATCTGGAGGTGTATTTCATTGATCACTTATATCTATACCCTTACACATGACACATCTACCATGCTAGGCTTTTGTAATAAAATTTAAAAAATCACCTACACAAAAAATTCATGTGGACTTAGTCTGAGAGCTACACATAATGCGTAAGTACAGATTGTTACTAAGACCGCATGCACAATCACAATGACTACAAGAGAAGTATGAGAGATTTATATTTTCCCCAGATTTAACATCTTATGATGAACATATTATTTAATATATTATGCACCAAAATATGTAAGCTTATGTGAAAAGCAAGCACATCAATGTTTATTTAAGTAAATATTATTTCCTACTTAACATTATAGAACTGCAATATGTTATATGTCTAACAAATGAATAACAAATGTCAGAGTTGCCGGTGGAACTAGTCCCACTGAGCTCAGCAATCTGTGTAACATAAACATAAAGTGGCAGTACTAAGATTTAATTTAGATGCCCTCTTTCTGGGGAGCTAATATCAGCAGACAGCAATGTATTAATCTGAAATGTGCGTAGTTTATATATTTACTATGTTTTTGAAGAAGAAATCTTGGTCTAAAGAGGTTATTACCCTAAAAAACCCAAGTATCTTGCTTTCCAAGACATACTTAATACAAAATAAAAGAATAAGCGCTCTAAAGTTATGGGGCTTTTTCTGGAGTTATTTTTCCACATAAGAAGTCCTGAGTACAGGGGAAAAAAACACCCAAAAGACCCACAAAAAATGAACTATGACCAGAAGATAGGGAAATTTTTCCTCCTTATTCCTCAAAGATTAAATAAATATTTATTTAAAATATTAACCACTGCATAATAAATGAAAGATAGTGATTTTTTTTAATACAATCATGCAAGTTTTTAAAATTTCTGCTTTAGACACAATTAGCAGGACTCCTGTTTATATCTTTAAATAAGCTTCTGGTTTTTAATTTAGAAAAAAATATTACTAAAATATGGAATTACTAAATTTCACTGCACTATACTAGCAGATCCTGCAAATGTTGCATGCAAGAGAATAAGATACTAGAGCTAGACCACACAGGAGTGAAATTTCATCAAATATGAAAAGGTTCTTGACATTAATGCAGGTCAGAAGCAAAAAAGAAATCCTTAAGGTAAACTTACACTGAAGCAACTAGTAAAATCAGTCATATATGAACCTGCATTCCCCCCTGCTGAGGACACAGAACACACTGTATCTTTTGATTAGTGTTGGCCAGTCAGAGCACTCCATATTGGAGAGAAACTGTGTTCTGCCACTTATATACTACCTGCCTCGAATCTTAGAATCATAGAATCATTAAGGTTGGAAAAGACCTCTAAGATCATCGAGTCCAACCGTCGACCCAACACCACCACCCACTAAACCATATCCCTAAGCGCCTCATCTACACGTCTTTTAAATACCTCCAGGGATGGGGACTCCACCACTTCCCTGGGCAGCCTGTTCCAATGTTTCACCACTCTTTCAGTA